CGGATCATGTCTTGCAGGTCTGCCCGTTGCGGGGTCGGCACACTGTCGACCCACAGGCGGATCACGCAGGCGCGCAAATGGCGGAACTCGGAGGTCATCTGCACCAGGTCAAAGCCCACGGTATGGCGCAGCTCGCCATGGCTGGCGGCGGCTTGATCCAGGCTGGGGGTTTTCTCCGGGCCTTCGCCCTTGGCCTTGGCGGCTTGTTCGCTGGCGCTTTGGCGGGTGTTCATGTCACGGGCGGCGGCCAGCAGGATCGAATGGGCGTGGTCGCGCAATTGTGTGCGGTTGAGGGTGTCGGCGGCGGGTGTCAGGGTCTGGGCGAACAGCTCCCATTCATCAACGATCTGCTCGGCGTGTAACACGATGAATTCGGATAAACGCATGGCCAGGTTTCCAGAACGATGAAAGCGCGTGGCGCATCGTAGCGCCATACGCGTGCTTCATTCACTGGCCCCGCAGGTCTGTGCCGATGAACGGTCAGAACAGGAAATAACGCTGCGCCATCGGCAGCACATCCGCTGGTTCGCACCAGAGCAATTGCCCGTCCGCCTTGACCTGATAGGTCTGCGGGTCCACGTCGATCTCCGGCAGGTAATCGTTGTGGACCAGGTCGGTTTTCTGCACATCACGGCAGCCCTTGACCACGCCGATGCGTTTCTTCAAACCCAGCGCTTCGGGCAGACCCTCGTCCAGCGCCGCCTGGCTGATAAACGTCAGGCTGGTGGCGTGCAATGAGCTGCCAAAGCTGGCGAACATCGGGCGGTAGTGCACCGGTTGCGGGGTCGGGATCGAAGCGTTGGCATCGCCCATCAGGCTGGAGGCAATCGCGCCGCCCTTGAGGATCAGCGTCGGTTTGATCCCGAAGAACGCTGGACGCCAGAGCACCAGGTCGGCCCATTTGCCCACTTCGATGGAGCCCACCTCATGGCTGATGCCATGGGTGATCGCCGGGTTGATGGTGTACTTGGCGATGTAGCGTTTGGCGCGGAAATTGTCGTTGCCCGGACCGTCGCCGGGCAGGGCGCCGCGTTGCTTTTTCATTTTGTCGGCGGTTTGCCAGGTGCGCGTGATCACTTCGCCGACGCGGCCCATAGCCTGGCTGTCGGAGCTGATCATCGAGAACGCGCCGAGGTCGTGCAGGATGTCTTCGGCGGCGATGGTTTCGCGGCGGATGCGGCTTTCGGCGAAGGCCACGTCTTCGGCAATGCTGGGGTCTAGGTGATGGCAGACCATCAACATGTCCAGGTGCTCGTCGATGGTGTTGCGGGTGAACGGCCGCGTCGGATTGGTGGAGCTGGGCAGTACGTTGGGGAAGCCGCACGCCTTGATGATGTCCGGCGCGTGGCCGCCGCCGGCGCCCTCGGTGTGGTAGGTATGGATGGTGCGACCCTTGAGCGCGGCGAGGGTGGTTTCGACAAAACCGGACTCGTTGAGGGTGTCGCTGTGGATCGCCACTTGCACGTCGTAGTCGTCCGCCACCGTTAGGCAGTTGTCGATGCTCGCCGGGGTGGTGCCCCAGTCTTCATGCAGCTTCAAACCGATGGCGCCAGCCTTGACCTGTTCGATCAATGGGCCCGGCAGGCTGGCGTTGCCCTTGCCGGTAAAACCGATGTTCATCGGGAACGAATCGCTGGCCTGCAGCATGCGCGCCAGGTGCCACGGCCCCGAGGTGCAGGTGGTGGCGTTGGTGCCGGTGGCCGGGCCGGTACCGCCGCCGATCATAGTGGTGACGCCGCTGGTCAGCGCTTCTTCGATCTGCTGCGGGCAAATGAAATGCACATGGGAGTCGATGCCGCCGGCGGTGAGGATCATGCCTTCGCCGGCGATCACTTCAGTGCTGGCGCCGATGGCCATGGTCACGCCGGGCTGGATATCCGGGTTACCGGCTTTGCCGATGGCGTGGATGCGCCCGTTCTTGAGGCCCACGTCGGCCTTGACGATGCCCCAGTGGTCGATGATCAACGCATTGGTGATCAAGGTGTCGACCACCTCGGCGGCGAGCAACTGGCTCTGGCCCTGGCCATCGCGGATCACCTTGCCGCCACCGAATTTGACCTCTTCGCCGTACACGGTGAAGTCCTGTTCCACTTCGACGAACAGCTCGGTGTCGGCCAGGCGGACCTTGTCGCCGACGGTGGGGCCGTACATATCGGCGTAGGCTTGGCGGCTGATTTTCATGTGTGTGCCCTGAAATATTTGTGTTGAATGTGAAATCGCTATCGGGGGCAAGCTCCCTCCCACCTTTGGAATGCGTTCCCCTGTGGGAGGGGGCTTGCCCACGATGAGGCCCTAAAGGTCGCCCATGATCCGCCCGGCAAACCCGAACACCCGCCGACCGCCGCTCAAATCCACCAGCTCGACCTCACGACTCTGCCCCGGCTCGAACCGCACCGCCGTACCCGCCGGAATATTCAAACGCATGCCACGGCTGGCGGCGCGGTCAAAGGTCAGCGCGTCGTTGGTTTCGAAAAAAGTGGTAATGCGAGCCCACCTGGATCGGCCGGTCGCCGCTGTTGGCCACGCTCAGGGTGACGGTACGGCGGCCGACGTTGAGTTCGATCTCGCCGAGCTGGATCTGAAATTCACCAGGAATCATGCAGGTTGCCCCAGGGTCTTGTAGTAGATGGCGGTCGGGCTGTAGCGCCCGTCCGGGCTTTGGCAGTAGTCGGGCAGTTCACCGATCTTGGTGTATCGCAGCGACTGGTAGAAGGCTTCGGCCGGCGAGCCGGCTTCGGTGTCGAGGTACAGCAGGCCACGCCGGTGCTGGCGGGCGGCGAGTTCCAGGGCGTTCATCAATTGCTGGCCGAGGCCGTGGCGGCGGGCGCTGCTGTGCACCAGTAGCTTCTGGACTTCGGCGCGATTGCGGCCGTTGGCTTTCTGGCACAACGCCAACTGCACGCTGGCGATCACTTGCTCGTCGCGCACCACCACCCACAGCAACAGGCTGGCGTCTTGCAGGCTCGCCTGCACGCCGTTGAGGTAACTGCGCGCCTGGGCGTCATCGAAGTCGGCCATGAAACCCACCGACGCACCGTGACTGACCGCGTCCAACAGCAGTTCACTCAAGCCCTGGCGGTAATGGGCGAAACTTTCCGCATTGACGCGACGCATTTGCGCAGCACTCATCGATCTCACTCCTTGGGCGGTTCGGCGCCGGGGTTCAGGGCCAGTTGCATAAAGGTCAGGTCCAGCCAGCGGCCGAACTTGATGCCCACTTGCGGCATTTGCCCGGTGGTGACGAAGCCCAGGCGCTCGTGCAGGCGGATCGAGGCCTGATTGCCACTTTCGATGGCGGCGACCATCACGTACTTGCCGGCGCTGCGCGCTCGTTCGATCAGCACTTGCATCAAGCGTGGGCCAAGGCCCTTGCCACGTTGGTCGTTGCGCACGTACACCGAGTGCTCGACGCTGTAGCGAAAACCTTCGAATGGTCGCCAGTCGCCGAACGAGGAATAGCCCGTCACCTCGTCGTTTTCCACCGCCACCAGGATCGGGTAACCCTGGGCCTGGCGCGCGTTGAACCACGCCAGGCGGTTGGCCAGGTCCACCGGTTGTTCGTTCCAGATCGCCGTGGTGTTGCGCACCGCATCGTTGTAGATATCGCGAATGGCGGGAAGGTCCTTTTCAGTTGCATCACGAATCATGAGCGTGCCTCAGGCAATCGGTTGATGAACGGTGACCAGCTTGGTGCCGTCCGGAAAAGTGGCTTCCACCTGGATATCCGGGATCATCTCCGGGATGCCTTCCATCACTTGTTCACGGCTCAGTAGGGTGGTGCCGTAGTGCATCAGGTCGGCCACCGTGCGGCCATCGCGGGCGCCCTCCATCAAGGCGGCGGAGATGTAGGCGATGGTTTCCGGGTAATTGAGCTTCACCCACGCGCCAGGCGGCGCTCGGCAACTAAGCCGGCAGTGAAGATCAGCAGTTTGTCTTTTTCCCGTGGGGTCAGGTCCATGGTTCAGTCCGTCGTGAAATACATTCGTAAATACAGTGAAGATTAAATGTGGGAGGGGGCTTGCCCCCGATAGCAGTGGATCAGTGAAAAATGCTCTGCTTGACACGTCACTATCGGGAGCAAGCCCCCTCCCACATTTTGATCTTCATGTGCTCCAGATTCTCGGTGATACCGCTTCTCGGCCCAATATGGCCGGGCGCAACAGCCGCCACACATCAATCAACCATCCCCGCGCCAGCAGCGCCTCGCTGGCCAGGCAGCGGGCCACCAGCAAGCCGGGTAATTGGGTCAGGTCGCCGCGCACGGTGTGGGGCAGCGCGCGGCAACGTTCCAATAACTCAGGGTCGATATCGCCCGTCACCAGCAACGTGGCGAACACCGGTTGCCCGTCCAGGCCGATGGGCGAATCCAGCAGCCCGTCGCCGCCGACGATGCGTTGGCGTTCATGCCAGAGCGACTTTCCGTCGCGGCGGATATCCAGGTGCGATTGAAAGTGTCCCAGGTCGAAGCGTTCGTCACTGGCCGGGCGGCCCAGCGCAACCACGTCCCAATAGAACAGCCGGGCATCGCCGTGCAGGTCGATGCGCGTGGTGAGTTCGGCTTGGGCCGCACTGAACACGATGGTTTCCTGGGGCAGCCACTCCAGCGTGGCGCCGGCCTCCACCGTCAGCGCCAGTTGTTGAAAAGCCGGGCTGCTGGCGCGGTACCACTTGGCCGCGCCGGGGCTGGTCAGTTGTGCCCAGGCGCCCTCGGCGACGTGGGCGCTGATGTCCAAGCGGTCGCCGCCGGCAATACCGCCCGGTGGATGCACAATGATGTGCTGGCACACCTCGGGGCCTTCGGCATACAGATGCTTTTGCACGCGCAGCGGGCCGACGTGGCGGCGCATCACCGGGCGCGTGGTGTCGCCGAAGCGCGCGTAGCCTAGCTCCAGCGCGGCGTGCCAGCTGGGGGTGAACAGGGCAGGGGAAACGGGCAGGTTCATAACGGCGTGCTTTTCGTGAGGTCGCAACAGATTAGATGGTTACCAGGCCGCGCACACCTTCGCTTTCCATATTTTCACCACGGCCTTGCTGGACGATTTCCCCACGTGACATCACCAGGTACTGGTCGGCCAGCTCGGCGGCAAAGTCGTAGAACTGCTCCACCAGCAGGATCGCCATATCGCCCCGGGCCGCGAGTTTTTTGATCACCGCGCCGATCTCCTTGATCACCGACGGCTGGATGCCCTCGGTGGGTTCATCGAGGATCAACAGGCGTGGGCGACTGGCCAGGGCGCGGCCGATTGCCAATTGCTGCTGCTGACCGCCGGACAAGTCACCGCCACGACGATGCTTCATTTGCAGCAACACCGGGAACAGTTCATAGATAAACGCGGGCACTTCCTTGGCCTCGGCGCCGGGGAATCGCGACAGGCCCATCAGCAGTTTTCTTCCACCGTCAGCCGCCCGAAAATCTCCCGGCCCTGAGGCACATAGGCGATCCCGGCGTGTACGCGCTGATGGGGCTTGAACCCGGTGATCGGCTTGCCCTCCCAATTCACTGCGCCTTCTTTGGCCGGCAGCAAACCCATCAGGCATTTGAGCAGGGTGGTCTTGCCCACGCCGTTACGGCCGAGCAGGCAGGTCACTTCGCCGATTTTTACGTCGAATGAGAGCCCGCGCAGGATATGGCTACCGCCGTAATACTGGTGCAGTTTGTCGACTTGCAGCATGTTCAATTCTCCCCAATGATCGTTCCCATGCTCCGCGTGGGAATGATCAACGAACTCCGTTAGTTGGCGTTAAGCGGCAAGCTTCAAGCTGCAAGTTAGAGCGGACGGATGCCTGCTTTGCTTTAACTTGCCGCTTGAAGCTTTAGGCTCGAAGCTGGCCGATGTATCACCGTCCCAAATACACCTCGATCACCCGCTCATCGGCCTGCACCTGCTCCAGCGATCCTTCGGCCAGCACGCTGCCCTGGTGCAACACCGTCACATGGTCGGCAATCGCGCCGACAAAGCCCATGTCGTGTTCCACCACCATCAGCGAATGCTTGCCCGCCAGGCCCTTGAACAGTTCGGCGGTGAATTCGGTTTCGGCGTCGGTCATGCCGGCCACCGGTTCGTCCAGCAACAGCAACTGCGGGTCTTGCATCAACAGCATGCCGATTTCCAGGAATTGCTTTTGGCCGTGGGACAGCAACCCGGCCGGGCGATGCACCGAAGCGCTGAGGCGGATGGTGTCGAGCACTTCATCGATACGATCCTTTTGTTCGCCGCTCAGGCGCGCACGCAGGCTGGCCCATACCGACTTGTCGGTCTTTCGCGCCAGCTCCAGGTTTTCGAACACGCTGAGAGCTTCGAACACCGTGGGTTTCTGGAACTTGCGACCGATGCCGGCCTGGGCGATCTGCACTTCGCTCAGGCTGGTCAGGTCCAGGGTTTCGCCGAACCAGGCATTGCCGTGGCTGGGGCGGGTTTTGCCGGTAATCACGTCCATCAGCGTGGTTTTGCCCGCGCCGTTGGGGCCGATGATGCAGCGCAGTTCGCCGACGCCGATGTACAGGTTCAAGTCGTTGAGCGCCTTGAAACCATCGAAGCTCACGCTGATATCTTCCAGGGTCAGGATGGTGCCATGGCGGGTGTTCAGGCCCTTGCCGGCCACCTGGCCCAGGCCGATGGCGTCGCGGCCGCTGCCCGCATCGAGAATAGGTTCAAGCATCACATTCCTCATTTCTTCAGCAGCCCGATCACGCCCTTGGGCAGGTACAGGGTGACGATGATGAACAGCGCCCCGAGGAAGAACAGCCAGTATTCCGGGAAGGCCACGGTGAACCAGCTCTTCATGCCATTGACCACCCCGGCACCCAGCAGCGGGCCGATCAGCGTGCCGCGCCCGCCCAGGGCCACCCACACGGCGGCTTCGATAGAGTTGGTCGGCGACATTTCGCTGGGGTTGATGATGCCCACCTGCGGCACATACAGCGCCCCGGCCAGGCCGCACAGCACCGCGCTCAACACCCACACGAACAGCTTGAAACCGCGTGGGTCGTAGCCGCAGAACATCAGGCGGTTCTCGGCGTCGCGCAGGGCGGTCAGCACCCGGCCGAACTTGCTGCGCGCCAGGCGCCAGCCGATGAACAGACTCGCCACCAGCAACAGCACCGTGGCCAGGAACAACACCGCCCGCGTGCCCGGCTCGGTGATGCCGAAGCCGAGGATGCTGCGAAAGTTGGTGAAGCCGTTGTTGCCGCCAAAGCCGGTCTCGTTGCGAAAGAACAGCAGCATGCCGGCAAAGGTCAGGGCCTGGGTCATGATAGAGAAATACACGCCCTTGATTCGCGAGCGAAAGGCAAAGAACCCGAACACCAGGGCCAGCAACCCCGGCGCCAGCACTACCAGGCACAAGGCCCAGAGGAAGTGATCGGTGCCGGCCCAATACCAGGGTAATTCGGTCCACGATAAAAAGGTCATAAACGCCGGCAGCTCACTGCCGGCAGCCTGGCGCATCAGGTACATGCCCATCGCGTAACCGCCCAGGGCAAAGAACAAACCGTGGCCGAGGGACAGCATCCCGGCGTAACCCCACACCAAGTCCAAGGCCAGGGCGACGATGGCATAGCACAGGATTTTGCCCACCAGGGTCAGGGTGTAGGCCGATACGTGCAAGGCGTTGTCCACCGGCAACAGCGACAGCAATGGCAACGCCAGCAGCAGCGCCAGGATCACCGCGCCCACGGCGATGGTCACCTTGGGGCCGGCCTTTTGCGTGGCCGTGAGCATCAATGGCTGGTTCATCAGTCGATCACCCGTCCTTTCAGTGCGAAGAGTCCTTGCGGGCGTTTCTGGATAAACAGAATGATCAGCGCGAGGATCAGGATCTTGCCCAGCACCGCGCCGATCTGCGGTTCCAGAATCTTGTTGGCGATGCCCAGGCCGAAGGCGGCCATGACGCTACCGGCCAGTTGGCCGACGCCGCCGAGTACAACCACCAGGAACGAGTCGATGATGTAGCTCTGGCCCAGGTCCGGGCCGACGTTGCCGATCTGGCTGAGTGCGACACCGCCCAGGCCGGCGATGCCGGAACCCAGGCCGAACGCGAGCATATCCACACGCCCGGTGGGCACGCCGCAGCAAGCGGCCATGTTGCGGTTCTGGGTCACGGCACGCACGTTGAGCCCCAGGCGCGTCTTGTTCAACAGCAGCCAGGTCAACACCACCACGCACAGCGCGAAGGCGATGATCACGATGCGGTTGTACGGCAACACCAGGTTGGGCAGTATTTGAATACCACCGGACAGCCATGCCGGGTTGGACACTTCGACGTTCTGCGCACCGAACACCAGGCGCACCAGTTGGATCAGCATCAGGCTGATGCCCCAGGTGGCCAGCAGGGTTTCCAGCGGTCGACCGTACAGGTGACGAATCACCGTGCGTTCCAGCGCCATGCCGATGGCGGCTGTCACAAAGAAGGCCACCGGCAACGCGATCAAGGGGTAGAACTCGATGGCCGCGGGCACGTAGCGCTGCATCAACAACTGCACCACATAGGTGGAATAGGCGCCGAGCATCAGCATCTCGCCGTGGGCCATATTGATCACGCCGAGCAGGCCGAAGGTGATCGCCAGGCCGAGGGCGGCCAGCAGCAGGATCGAGCCCAGGGACATACCGCTGAACGCCTGACCGAGGATTTCACCCAGCATCAGTTTGCGTTTGACTTGGGCCAGGCTGGTTTCGGCGGCGGTATGCACGGCGGCGTCGGTTTCCACGCCCGGCGCCAGCAGCGCTTCCAGGCGCGTGCGCGCCAGCGGGTCGCCGGTGCTGCCTAGCAGGCGCACGGCGGCCAGGCGTATCGCCGGGTCGGCGTCGACCAGTTGCAGGTTGGCCAGGGCCAGGCTGAGGGCGGTGTGAACGTCCTCATTGGTCTCGGCGGCGACCTGCTGGTCGAGGAATTTCAATTGCGCCGGTTGGGCGCTTTTTTGCAGGGTTTGCGCAGCCGCCAGACGCACTTTGGGGTCGGCGGCCAGCAGTTGTTGGCTGGCCTGTACGTTATCGATCAAGCCGCGTAGACGATTGTTCAAACGCACGGTCTTGGTTTCACCATTGACGGTGAGTTGGCCCTGTTGCAGGGCGTCCACCAGCTCGATGCGCGCAGGGTCGGGGTTGGCGGCCCAGTCCTGCAACAGCTTGGCCTGTTGCGTCGGGTTGGCGGCCAGGAAGTCTTCGGCATCGCCGGCGTGTACCACCAAAGGCAGCAACAGCAAGGCTGTGACGATGAAACGGTGCAGGGCAGTGGGCATACAAAATGTCCTGATCGTGTGGGAGGGGGCAAGCCCGCTCCCACAGTTGGCCTGTGGTGGGGCTTAGTTGCTCTTCACCGCATAGTCCGGCTTTTTGTCATTGCCTGGGATGTATGGGCTCCACGGCTGCGCCCGGATCGGCTCCTGGGTCTGCCATACCACCGAGAACTGCCCGTCGGCCTGGATCTCGCCGATCATCACCGGCTTGTGCAGGTGGTGGTTGGTCTTGTCCATGGTCAGGGTAAAGCCCGACGGCGCGGCGAAGGTCTGGCCGCCCAGCGCTTCACGCACTTTGTCGACGTCGGTGGACTTGGCTTTCTCCGCCGCCTGCGCCCACATATGGATACCCACGTAGGTGGCTTCCATCGGATCGTTGGTCACGGCTTTGTCGGCGCCCGGCAGGTTGTGTTTCTTCGCGTAGGCTTTCCAGTCGGCGACGAATTTCTGGTTCACCGGGTTCTCCACCGACTGGAAGTAGTTCCAGGCGGCGAGGTTGCCCACCAACGGCTTGGTGTCGATGCCGCGCAGTTCTTCTTCGCCCACCGAGAACGCCACTACCGGCACTTCGGTCGCTTTGAGGCCCTGGTTGGCCAGTTCTTTGTAGAACGGCACGTTGGAGTCGCCGTTGACGGTGGAGATCACGGCAGTCTTGCCGCCGGCCGAGAACTTCTTGATGTTGGCGACAATGGTCTGGTAATCGGCATGGCCGAACGGGGTGTAGACCTCTTCGATGTCTTTATCCGCTACGCCTTTGGAATGCAGGAACGAGCGTAGGATTTTGTTGGTGGTGCGCGGGTACACGTAGTCGGTGCCGAGCAGGAAGAAACGCTTGGCGCTGCCGCCTTCCTCGCTCATCAGGTATTCAACGGCCGGGATCGCCTGCTGGTTCGGCGCGGCACCGGTGTAGAACACGTTAGGTGACATCTCTTCGCCTTCGTACTGCACCGGGTAGAACAGCAGACCGTTGAGTTCTTCGAACACCGGCAATACGGATTTGCGCGACACCGAAGTCCAGCAGCCGAACACCACGGCGACTTTGTCCTGGGTCAGCAACTGCCGACCTT